TTCTTATCTTAAGCATGGGAGGAGAATTACTTATTTGTAAATTGTGGATTGTGAATTAGGAGTTGAAGATAAATATTTATCTTTGCATCTCTGTGCTGCCAGACCGGCAGTCTTATATTGTCCTTATATTCTTAAATAAAAAAATAGTGGGCTTCTACTACTTTTGAAATGAGTCTCACTTATGAAGATGTATAAATTATATATAATATATAAATATATAGATTTGGACTGTTTGATCTATGTTACGTTCCATATTGATGCAATGGCGATTGCAGCTGTTGCACATATGTGTATTTTCCGCAAAACATATCATTTTCTCCCTGCTTCTGCATATGGAAAGTTACCAAAGAGGACAATAAAAGGGTCGCTGAAATTAAATAAAACGAGGAAAAACCAGCTGTGCTTGAAGTACAGAAGCTCAAGTTCAGGCTCCAGGAACAAGCATCAAAGAGAGTGTCCAGGATATTGTCGTTGAAGGCGGCCAACGGGTAAGTTCTTCGCATAATAATGACCACCGAGATAAGTTTTTATAATTACTACTCGCCATTTAATCACTTCCTATGGGAAAGATACTGATACATACATACATATATTCAAAATAAAAAGGTTGTTAAGGATGTGGCGTTGACAATTAGTCAAGCCATAGGACCTATGGAACAGGGGGTTATGAGAATTCAGCAAACCTTCCACCGCAAATCAGAGGCTCCAGAGGACGAAGAAGCGATTGTAGAAGTTGGGAAAGAGGTGACGGAAAATTTTACGGGCGATGAGAATAAAATTGATGTTTAACCTGTAAGAAGAATCATTGTTGTGATAATGAGGATGAAATTTAGCCTTGCTGATGTTCCAAAGTCTGATTGTAACCTTAGGAATTTGAGCTGATTATGATGGAGTTTTCCTTCAACTCCAAGTCCCTGCTAAAAATTACTCCCTCCGCCCGTAACTTTTTTAAGTTAATTAAAACCAGTTATTAAAAATTACTATTAGTTAAAGGAGTTTGATTAATTGATTAAAATATGCTATAAGAAGGATGAGGAAAAGTAATCCAGCTAGCATTGCATTATTACTAAAAACGATAAATAAAACGTCGTGGAAAATGATGTTACAGCGTTTGATTTTCTGTTTACCACCTGCAGTCAAAATGCTCTCCTTCAACCATACGCATAAATGTGATGCAAGGCTCGATCATGATTTGTTCATTTTTCACAAAAAAAGCCGCATTGAGAATGAGAGCTAGGGCGCGTGGGGACTATGGTTGGGGGGCATTGTTACAATATACTGCCCTTAATATGATATAAGAGTTAGGTTGAATAGCTTCACTTTTAATTTGATTCTAAATATAATATTTTAATATATTGTTGCTCTTATTTTTTTATTTTTCTTAAAGCAGTCATTATATTAGTTGTACATGTTAAATGTTTCCTCATATGGTACTTTTAACTAATTACACATAGTTAATAAAAGTATTTTAGAAAAGATAATATCTATTTATTTCAAATAACTAAATTAACTAATTTTGGTAGTCTACTTAAAATTAGTTAACTAACTCTTATATTTAGGATTGAAGGTAATATATTACCTTGTAAATGTACTTTTTTTTTTATTAATATGGTGTAATGAGGATACTACTTTGATAAGGAAACTTAAATTGATTTCTTGAGTAGATTCTTTCTAATTAAATCTATAATATATCTAAATTAGGAATTAAATTTCGAATTACTTGTTAATGCGACAAAAGTCCTTATCACCCATGAATTAGTTGAATTTAGAAAATAATTCATTTAAAAATTATAAATTCAAGCATCAAAATGAATTTCATTGCAATGAATATTTTATTTTAGAAAAAGGAAATATATGGTTTTTAGTCTTAACGTTGCAATCAATTTGAGTCAATCATGTAATGACGTGCTACTTATATGACTAATGAAATTTGGTCAACCTCCACCCCAAGTTTTTGGAACTTGGAAGTGATGCTGACTTGCTAATGACAAGTTGCGAATATGACTAATAAAAAACTATACACAGACAAATTTTCTTCAGAAATACAATTTAACATGATTAAAAAAATAAAAATACAATAATCCCCACACAAAAAAGCACCGATTGATTTTAAAAGTAGTCGAGAACTCCTCCATTTTCTGCTATGTTAGCTCAAATTTCACCACTTCCGATGCCACGCATTACCGGTTGTGGCTGCTGTGGCTTGTAATGTATACAAGCCCCGCAAAATACACTAAACTTAAATGACAAAACGAATTTTCTCTATCCTACAAAAAAGAACATACTTTTCTCCCATTCTTAAATGTTCGAACTTCGAACAAACGAATCAAAGCACAGTCCGAACAAAAACCAGGGCCCCCAAACAGAACCCTTTTTTCGATCACCCAAAAAGGCAAAAAGATTAACCCTTTAACAAGCATATGACCTGCACATATACATGGATGTTCTCTGTTTTTTTCCCCTCCCTTTCCGATTAAAAAGGTGTAGAGATTGCAATATACAACAATCATATACAATTAATTACCCGAAATTTCAGCCTTCATTCGTTGCCATGACAGCATAACTCTGAGCAACAGCTAAGGCAGCCCAAGCATCCCAAGCCAATGCAAAGCTGAGTCAATGCAGTTAGACATTGATTGTTCAGCCGAGTACAGACGTTGATACAGCACGCACAACAGCATTGATCGCACAAACTGCTACAACAATATTGGGCAGCCTTCATCAATTGTTCCGCCGCTTCCGGCAACTTTGTCTCCCCAGCTCCTGGACTAATATTTTCAACTGTTGCACTCAGGTTGCCGAAGCCAATGCTTAACTTTGGGAGTCTGATTGTTCTCTGCCCTTGGACGTTGGTTACTTTTGGAGGGTGGCCTTTTTTCGAAACCTATTTTATGCAAAGACAGTTAACCAATGTATCTTTGAATCCATGATTTTCTATATTCCATCGCCGAACATATGAGTGGCAGAATAGATATATGTATTTAAAGTAGATTGCAAGTTTTCAAAGGACAGGAAAAAACCACACGTAAACGAGTTTCAATTAGACATGAAAGCTAAATATAAATATTTTTGCACAGCCGCTTGTCCACTTTACTTTGAAAAAGAGCTTACAAACTTTTAGGTAAATACCTCTTTGGCTCCATCTGATTGATTCACTTTCTTAAGCAACTCATCATTCTCAAGGAGTACCATACGAGTGTACTCGGACATAAAGCCAGTCTCCAGGCTTAGTTTTGCAACCTGCCAATTAAATTGATGGACAAAAGAAAGCTTTTGTAAGCATGAGAATTGACTGATGCGTTCCCAAGGCATCTGGACAGAAATAAATAGGAAGTAACAAACCTTATCTTCTATCTGTTTATTTTGTGAAACCCACGCTTGAGAAGTGAGATGCTCAATTTGTTGCTTTGCAAAAACCTAGTATGAATACACGTGATATTAAAATATTAATTAATTCGGTTAAATGAATATAATAAGCAAAAGAAAACTAGATAAGGGGGTTATAGAATACGAAAATAAAGAATGGCAAGCAAATAATGCAGAATCTTACCCTTTGTATAGGAATATCCTTTGCATTTCGTATCTCCAAAACCATTGTAAAATTACTGAAATCAGCTAAGATGCCTTTAACTGTTAATTTTTCAGGAAAAGCCCCCTTATACCTTCCACAAAACATCAATGGACCCTCTGATGAAAGATCTGGAATTTGGAATGGGCACACCTGTCATATAATGTCATTAGATGGAACCACAATGGCAAAGTAGAGTTATCTAAAGAAGTAATATATCGTAGCAACTATGCGACAAAAACAGTTTATCGGTCATAGCTAACGGGACATGCGGGCTCCATCATTGCATCTCATAAGAGTATTCAATTTCTAATATCGCTTAAAACAAGATACAAATACAAACCAGCACGAAACAAAAAATGGCGACACCGCAATAAATTACCACAAATCATCTTCAGGAGTCATAGCAGCATATTTTGCATCGTCAGAATCACAAAATCAGGATCAGGATTTTTAACGAAAAGTATTAAAATGTCTTACCTCAACTTCATCAAGATCATTAAGCATGTCGATGGTGATATTTGCCAGAATGATAGATGAAGCTTTATCAAATAATTTAAGTATTCGAGGTGTGACCAAATCTGTCCATTTCAAAATGAAGATCGTTCAGTCGGTCTATTGCACTAAAAACATGCATTAGCATAAGCAAGCCACGTAGAGCATGCCATTGAAAAACTTCGTGTTGAACACCCAAAATAAGTTCCCTACAGTGTTTGGCCAGCAAGTTACAGTATTTACATTGCAAATATTTTCGCATCAAACTGTATCTTGAATCGGCAGATAAATAAATAATGGATTAAGCACCAACAAGGTATCTTTATTTGTCAGGCAAGCCAAATACACGATTTCTTTTTTCATTACTGGACTTGGCCATGACTTTTGTGAACAATCTAATATTTTAATAAAATATTAATACCTTAATATTTAATAATTTGAAAATCATTATTATTTACAACTCAATCTCTTAGATTTACAAGTGAATTTGTATAACTTTTGCATTGGTTATTCAAATTCTACGTATTGATCTACAAGTCAACCTCTTTAACTTACGAGCTATGCTTTAAAATTAATGAGCCAAACTTCAAAATTTACAACTTAACAAGGTTAAAGAAAACTCAAGTCCACTTGTAAATATGAGAGGTTGTCTGGTAAATCTAGCATGTTGACATGTAAATATAAAAATATTAATATTTTAATAAATAATATAAAAAAAAAATTCTTTGACTGGCGTTAGTCCACACAGACCAATCAACAGCCGGTCAAATTCGTAGAACTTACTTGTAAATAAGCTGGTTATCTAGGACCTATGCACCCCCAACTTAAATGGTCTACTTGTTTGTTAGGCATGTACTAATGGTAAGATCTGGGTCTATGAGAACCTTGTTCCCAATATCTTACGAAGTTAAGGAAAACTGATCACTTACCCACATCTAATGCAGCATCATATTGGCCCCTACCAATCGCAGCAAGCATGCTCAAGAAATAATGATTGCAGAACGGACCTGGCATATTCAAATAAAAGAATGGTAAACTCTTAACATCAAACACAACTCAACAAAAACTTTTAAGAGAAATATATTGGAAAACAATCTTCTAATGTAAAAATATATTGAAGGCTTCTCAAACATAACAATAAGAGCAAATGGTTTGAGGAGCAAGAAACACTGACCTATACCGAAAGTGTAAATCCGGGGGCATATTGAATCTTTATTGATCATATGCTCCTTCATAATGTCACAAATATGTCTCTCATCCTCAACAGATCCATCTGTAACCAGGAAAATCATTGGAATTGACCTTCGAACTCCTGATAGCATCTCTATTGCCTGAAGAGAAAAAGGAAACAAAATATAATACTCCAACCAAAGATCATGAACATCAAAGCTAGCACAGGAATAAATAGAGGCAATGGGATTTGGGGAATTGATTCTTGCATCAGGCTGAGCACAAATTGATATTTGCTTTTTCAGTGCAATGGCCTTAGGCAGTCAATAACTTCTGCTCAATGAACCTTGTGGTTATTTTCATAGATCTACCATGGACACAACAAGATTAACTGATAATAAATTCATTCAAAGATGGTTTAAAATGTACTTTGCAGTAATTCTAGGACACAAAAACAATTCTAGCATCTTGTGTAAACAACACATGGCTTTAGATGAGGATTCAAAGAAACTGTAGAATTGTTAAAATGTACCTTGTTCAAGGGATGCAAAATATTTGTGGCACCTTCTGCAACAAAGTTCATTTTAATCCATTCAATGGCCCTTTCAACTGTTTCCTGGGAAGCCAATTCCACTGATGTTGAAAATAGATAACTCTCTCCATTAAAAGCTATAATGCTAAATGAATCATCAGGGTCAAGCTTAGACAGAGCAGCAGATAATGCAGTCTTTATGTCATCGATTAGCTTTCCTTGCATACTTCCACTAATATCAACAACAAATACTATGTCTTTTTTGAAAACCTGGAGATTCAGTAGGACCAGCAATGAGAACACTGTGGAAAAATAAGAACCGTACAACATGCAACTTATGAAGTAAAGATTTTATACCAACCTTGCTGCTCTGAAGATTTCCAGGATAAAGGTACATGTAGAACATGTCCCTTTCATTAAAATCATGCAGAGGTGCAGATTCCAAAAGAATACCACCATTTATATGACTTGAAGAAACCTAACAACATGTAACAAGCTTGAGTATAGAACCTTTTAAAAGCTAAATCATAGAACAGAGATGAAGATAAAAAGGAACATGAGACTTACAGAGTAAGAAAAATGAAAATCAATGTTTGACCATTCAAGAACTTGAGAATCATACAAGAAACTGATACTCCCAGCATAGCGCCTTACTTCCTGAACAATCAGAGAAAAGAATCATTTATAATGTCCACACGTAAAACAATAAAGGAGTCCCCACAAAACTCAAGCAGAAAGGAACCTTCAAGGGATGACTTATTGTCTGGCATAACAGCTCACTTCCAACACCAGCATTCACGTTTATTTGTATCTTTTCTCTTTTAGGAATTCTCTTCCCAGCAGGTTTCACAAAAGCAGGAAAGGCAAATGGCACAATCAAGGAGAACTGATCATTGCCGTATAAAAGTTTCTGGGACCAACTAATTTTAATTGATAAATTGGAACCTCCGTCAATCTGTTACAAGTAAATTCTAAGAAGACATTGTCAGAATGAATAGACATGGATATAGAAATTAATAACGACCTATAACGTTTAAACACAGTTATGCACTTACCTCCGGTATATTTAAGGTAAATATATTGGGTTTGATGAAGCCCGCTTGTTTAGCTCCAATGGCATTTTCCTTTTCGTTGTTCTCTGACATAAGCAGTTGAGTACAATATGATTTCCTAGGAACACTGACCTCGACACCTAGAATTGAACCCTGTTAGCCAAATTATATCAGAACACAAAATATGCAACAAATTTGTTATTTGGAGTTTGAGAGAGTAAGCTTCATGTCTAACAGAGCAGAAAGCCTAGATGACTTTTTTGGTACAGAGGAAACAAGAAATAATCAGAAAAGCATTGATCCCCTGGAGGGAGAGCTTTTCAAGGAGAAAAATAAAAAACATACTGAGAAATAATCAAGGATGAAGAAAAATTGTGTTCAGTTTCCACACCCAATTTGCCCAAAGCAACTGAACTTTAATCCCTTGATGAACAAAAACAGAAAAGAGACAATAAAAACATTCACTGTCGTACAGAGAAAGGGGAGCGAAGATCAGAGTATCAACAAAGGAAACAAAATTAGCAAACTTCCCTCAATAATCTAAAAAAAAAAAAAACATTTCAGATAACATTTTCGACCCTTGAGTAATCTCTGAGTCCCTAAACAATTAGATTCCTACTTGCTTTGATGTATTCATCAAAGTGATATTGAGAAAAGCAGGAACGAGCTTCCAATTGTAATTATAATAGGGAAAATTCTACGACACACGAAAAAACAAGAAAAAGAAGAACAATAGGAAATGAGAGGTGGACTTGAAAATAACCAAATAAATGCATGTACAGTAAAAAAATTCACCTGTTCGCCCATAGGAATTGCGACACGACAATCACAGCTCCGGCTACCCTTAACACAGTGCACCCTCCAAACACCATTAATCGTGACAAACGCCGTATCCAAATAACAATCCGCCTGGAGCTCAATCTCATTCATCTGAAGCGGAATCAGCGCCGGCGGGTCGCACCTGCCGTGCACGTGTGGCTGGTAGCTCGGCATATCAGGGTTATCCACGATTCCCGGGTCATAGATGACAGCATAAACCATCGGCGCGGAGGGAAGAAGAGCTTGAAATGACTTGTCCATGGAGGTAGGGGGCTTGGGCGGCGCCACCGCCCTGTCCTTTCCGAAATATATGCGCCTGGCGAGCTTGAGACCATCTTCAACTGCCGCAGCGAAATCCTCCGCCATCAGAGAAAGGGAAAAAGGCAAAGCGTGTGGGGGGAAGGAAGAAGAAGAGATGGGTATGAACCGTTACGAATCAATGAAGGAGATCAATATTAATGCTTTTCTTCTGTATTGATGAAAGAAGAGAGAGATTACTTGGATATGGGAATTCTCTTTCTCGTTAAGATCCGGACAAGTGAGGAGGCTCTCCTCCCCTGAGGGTGGGTGGGGCCTCCTGTGATTGGATCTGCCCTGAATTTACCGTTGGATCCTCGTGGCTTCCGTTAACAAAACATTATTTTATTGGACATTCAGCTTTTAAAGCATCTTGACAGCTACTGATATGCCCGAGTGTAACCCGCGTATTGTGACGCGTGGCAGCCATGTCGGCAATTGGAAGTGGACCCTACAGCTGCAATCTCCTTTGTGTTTTATATTACTATTTTTTTGCCAACGGGACCCCACCACTTTCTCAATGCCGATTCTGCTTTTATTATTAAGATAAAATCATTAACGGATGATTTGACCACTCGAAGTACTACAGTTTAGTAGTATTTTATTGAATTTATTGAATTGTTCAGGGCAACCGGCAAAGGAACTTTTTGTAGTTCTAAAGCGACTCTTGGTTGATCTGAAATCCCTGCGGTTTTCACTTTTTATTGTTTGTTTATTGAAGTTCACAAGAAAGAAAAATCCTTCAACTTGTCCGTGATTCTACTGGTTGTCATAGTTTATTCATTAGCAATTGGAGGAGCCGAGGACGTAACGGTAAGGAATTGACTTAATCATTGAGATGCTGTTTGGAAGGAGGAAAATGGCGAAGGAAAAAAAATTTTAATAAGCTCTAAAGTGAAGTTTTAAAATTTTAATTAAAAAAATAAGTAATATGAAAAGGTAATAAAAATTAATTAAAACTTTTAATCGTATTTTTTAATTTTTTAAATCAAACTTATTAAAAAAATTTCTCCCTTCTTTCTCTCATTTTTCCCATTGCAAGTGAACCCTGAGCGATGTTTTTCATTCAATCAGTTTGTCAATGAGCATTTAACGTCTAATGTAATCTCTTAAAAAGGCTATTCTTTTATTAAATATACTAAATCTGGTCAACGGACTGTGTCTTTAGGACTTGTCTTAAAAAGGTTAACATCAAAATTAGTTGAAAAATATGTCCTTTTTTCAGATAAAAAACAATATGTCCTCACTACAGATTAGAATTACAAAAGACATTCTCTACCCAAAAAAGAAGAAGAAGAATTACAAAAGATATTCATGATATTGTATAGCGTAAAGTGGTCATGTATACAAAACAACAAAGAGATCGTTTTTATGCTCGAACAACAAAGAGAATATCATCAATACATAAAATCTGAAGTTTTTGTTATATATGCATGAAATTTGAGAATCAAATCGTATTATGCGTGATTTTTGCGAATAATGTGATATGCACAGAGGAAGCACAGATTCCAAGAGCTAATACCAACACAGTTTAGGACAATTATCAAGGATACAACAATCCAATCAGACGTATATAACCTTGCGTTAACTTTCTTATTAAAAAAAACTTAAATTTCAAATAGAAATCAAACCAATCAACAAGAAAATAACTTGCAATTACAAAGCATTATCACGGGTGCTTCAATTTTCCAATCGATAAAACTACTTGAGCTTCAATTTTGCTATCCATCCCATGATCTTAAAGGTAGAATAACTTTCCTGTCTTTTTTTAATTTAGGAAAAAAAAACCTTAATAACGATATTTAGCAGTAAAAAATTGTGTAAAACATTTTGGACGGACACGCTTCTTTGATTTTTTTTTGTTTAATAAAAATATTGCATCTAAATCTCTAAATAAGTCAAATGAATAACCGCCATATTCATGCAACTGCATTATTGGTTTATTGCATATTTTATGTGCTGGCAATAAAAGTGCTCGTATCGCTCCACATGTCTAGTTGTGGCGTTGCGTGACAATTAAGTAAGGAGACCACTTGAAAATGTGCAAGGTTTGAATCCAAACAGTCCCATATCTGATTCGTCATTTTATAAGGAAGTTGCATTGCATGAGTAGAACCAGGCGAAGATTGCACAGCAAAACGCGTAATGTTAAGCGCAAGCCAACACTCAGTTCGGTTTGCCGAGCAGTTTATAGAAAATTATTATTAGAGCCGGGAATCAGGGTCAGCCCGGCCCTCCAGGGCTGGTGGGCTTAAAAGGGCCGGCCCTCCAGGGCTGAAATTTTAAAAATACCCCAATTTGCTAAGCCCGGCCCTTAGGCTACAGGGCCAGGGCTGGCCCGCGGGCTTTTGGCCCGTTTAAGGAAAAATACTATTTTTTTATATTTATCAAATTTTTTTATAAAAATAAACCAATGAAATTATTAATAAAAGACATAAATATGAATAAAATTAAGTCACAAATATAAAATATCATCATATATAAATATTCATCAACATCTAAGAACATCTAAAACATTCATTAACAAGATAACAATATCTAAAAGTTTTATCTATAATACAATTGTGCAATAAATAAACACTATCATTAATCTTTTGAAACTTCATCATCACTATAATTAATTACTTTTCTTCATAAGTATGCTTTTCTTTCGTAACAAAAATATCAAGTTTTTCTTCTTTATAAGAATTTTATTTTTGAATTTTGCAATCTAACTATTATTTTACTTTAATGTGAGAAACATTGTTGTTGAAACTCATGAATTTCTAATTCAAATTATAGAATCACAAGTTATATAAGTATAAAAATATTCTATTATCAAATATATATAGTTTAAAAATATCAACGCATATAATATAAATCAAATCATTATTAAAGTCTAAATTAACCGATTTTTTAAAAATTTAATTGGATAAATTATTGTCTAAAACTAAATTTAATTTTAAAATGATAATAATAACTAAATATTTGAAATATTATTAACAATGTAAAAAATTAATAACATTAATATTATATAAAAAATTTAAAAAATAAAAAAAATTATAAAAGGGCTTAAAAGGGCCCGCCCGCGGCCCTCCAGGGCCGGCCCTTTTAAGCCCTCGGCCCTCCAGGGCCAGCCCTCCAGGGCCAGCCCTCCAGGGCTTGTTTCTCATTTTAAGAGAAAAATATCAAGCCCGGCCCTCATAATTTCAGGGCCTAAACGGGCCGGCCCGATGGGCTCGGCCCGTTTTCCCGGCTCTAATTATTATGGATGGCACCAGCATGTTTGCTAAGTAATAAAAACAAATATTTACATTTGGTTCCATAGTAATCCTCTTAATATAAGTTTTACAATATAAATATTTGAGTCCTCCTTCTGCCTTAAGTTTTGAGCTTAGCAATTTTTTTATTTATTTGAATACTTGATTTGATAACAACTCCTGAATTCCAGACTACTTTTTAATTTTCAATTAAAACAACTTACATAAATCAAATTTTTCCCATTACAATGTTCCTTCTACTGAAATTAATTTTTTTTTTTTTTAAAAGTGATCATCCTTTTCAATTTTCAACAAAACCCCCCCTCCCAAAAAAAAAAGGGCTAAGAAAGAATCCTGGAACTGATGACGCCTCGAGATTCTCCTGATGAGTTAATTCAATTAACAACATAAGCCCATAACTCACGTCACATCGATGGGTACAACCGAAGTTTTAAAAAAAATGCTAACAAAAAATTTTGGCGAGTTAGCCCACATTTCCTAATCACGCCTCTAACACAGAGGGTGGGATTATCTTGAGGTACCACCTGTCACCTGACAAGGTTTTAGATTAGTAAGAAACAAATTAAGCGAAAAGCAGAAAAAGTCCATGCCAGCCGCCTAATTGTAGCTATTTTTAATCTGTAATATTATGTGATCATGAGGTTTTGTTTAATAATCTTAAAATGCAATAAAAACTTGAAATACATAGATTTTTACTGCCTTTCTGGCTTCCGCTGAATCCAAATCCAAATCCAAATCCAAATTCATAGTTGACCATCTGCAGAGCTTCTCTTCCTACTCAGCGTGCAAAGGGGCAATGTAATCGTGTTATACTATCAACTAATATCACACAAGAGAGCTGTCCGGTGATCAATGCGATGTGAGCATGTCTCCCCACCAAACGACTTCGAATCTCCCACCAGATCAGCTCAAAAGTTCATCTTTCATCCCATGACCTCCTCAAAGCCAAGGGGAATGGCGATAACTGGCCCTTTCAATACCAAAGAGATATACTTCATTCGGCATCATCTACTTCTATATTTGTGCAAAGAGTATTTCATTCCATGTATCAGGAACACCAGGCAAACACCAATGTAGGCAATCCTGCATGCCAGGCTTGGCAGTGATGCTGAATCGTGAAATATGACCCTCATCCCTGAGCTGAGAAATTGCCGTTATGTCCAGGAGTTTGACCCCTGTTCCCTTCACGGCATGCGCAGCATTTTGATCTGTAGACTCCTCATCTAATATTTCCTTTCCGATCGACATTGGGGTGGTGTTGTTGCAACTTCCTCCTGTGTTCCATTCCCCGCCAAAAAAATGCCTAGGGGAGATGGTACGAAAGAATGCCTTCAAACCAGGATACTTCGGAAGCTGTGAATTCACCCAACTAACAACACTGTGAATTGTCAGATTCTTGGCACCCCAAATCACCGCTATTTTCTTATCTGTATTTGGCACACCACCAACATGCATTACCCACCTATTACCTTTGAGCTTTCCTCGATTCCAGTGGTGACCAGTGTTGAGAACCAGGACATCAAACTTATGAATAAATTGGCGTAAGAATGCTGGTGGCCGATCAAGGTGCATTGCATGATCAGTATTAGGGTTGTTTGCATCAATAGGTTCAATGTCACAGAGAGTTGCCGACCAGTAGTACAAGATGGTAGTATGGGTGCTTGGGAAACGGTAAGCCCATCCATTAGGACGAGCAGCACCCTCGGTTAAAACCAACCCATACTCATTCCCCACATCTTCTACATCAGCTGTCTCCTTGCCACCTGTGATCATGCACATTAAAGACTGAAACTGCTGCCGGCCCAATGAATCTCCAACAAAAGCTAAAGTTTTGTTTTGCATCCTAAATACACCAAGAATATCATTAATTGACTAGACATATATGGGATGTGGTTTCAAAAGGATCCAAATACTAGAGCCAATTTCAAAAACATAAGTGAAGACAAAATCTCTGG